TAGGTCTTTCATCTTCACCATTGAGCAGTCTGATAAACTATCACAAAAGTATTTTCCTAAGAACCTATATCCTATAGAACCTATAGAGCTGGGCATTCACAGAGAAAATGTAATATTGTTTCTTTCTCCTGCGGGTTTCTACAACTTCTGCAGTGAGAGTTATAGGGAATACGCAGTTTCTCTGCGTGAGTTCCTATACACCAATGACCAGTAAGAACTGCAATAAGCCTTGCAGTGTTTACGCGATCTCTTTTGATCAATTCCAGGGATTTATTTTTATTATAGGTGGGCCACGTTAACCTGGAAGTTGCACATGACCTTAGTGCTTTCCATCTGTTATTGGCGAGTTGCAGAAAGTAAAGGAAGGTACTTCTTTTGATGGTATCCAGGGTAATATAAACTGATACCGCCAGTGACGCGTCTAGGCAGGCACCAGAGCGGGCTAAACTATCAGCTTTCTCATTCCCTACGATGTTCCTATGCCCAGGAAGCCAATTAATATTTCATTGTTTTCATATGAAAGTAGAATGAGAAATGAATTTTCTCTACTTGCGAAAACATTTCTTACTTTATATATAACCCGATCTAATTTCATGTCCTACATTTTACTATAGTATGTAATCGACGAATATCTCTCAAATTTGACAAATTTGACAGTTATTCTATGTTATTCTAATCTATTTTCACTAAGTACTCTGCTAATATTTCATTGTTTTTATATGAAAGTAGAATGAAAAATGAATTTTCATAATAAATTATTTCTGTTGTCGTGATTTATTATTTCATGAGTATGTCAGTTTGATCTTTAAGATATTAAAGCAACATCTCTCCCTGCAATTACTTTAAATTAAAGAAAATTGAGCTCATATGCATCTACTCGTATTTTCCACGTTATATGTTGTATAAGACGCCCGCGTACTAAACTTAAACCGGCAAAATTATGCATGAATTAGATTGTCGATCGCAATTTCATATCAAATATTTTCATACTTACTGAGCACACCGTTTAATTTTTTATTTACATTCTCACATAATTTGTCGTGAGGTGAAGTGTACTGAAGCTGCTGTGAACATAGTTTCTGTTGTTTTCCTCAACGGATAATACTTCAAAATGTTCTCATCTTAAGATTACTAGATACAAATCTGTATTGTGCAAAGTCAAATGTACTCATAAAATGTGTGTACAATTTTTTTATCTCACGATTAAAATAGTATCTTCATGGAACTGTAAATGATAACAGCACAAAGTGTAAGAAAATTTGATTTCTCTCAACGATATCATGTTTTATTCTTATTGAGTTGAGTTGATAATAAATTGTGGAAATATATAATTTATAAATTAATTTATATAAAAATTTTTTTAACAATAAAAATTATGTATATAAGTAAAATATTGATATAATAAATAAATCAAAGTTCAAGTGAAGTTTTTTTAATAATATTCATTTGAAAACTTACTGTGGCAATAATACAACAATTGAAGACAAAATTATTTATTAACTATATTTTTATAATTTATTTCTTATATACGATATATGATTGGAAATTAAGATTAAAAGATTTATTTACAAAACAATATTTAAAAAGTGCCTATCTCTCTTACAAGACTCATATAAATTGAAACAAGATAGTATAATGTAGAGACTTAATCTGTTAATTAATAAAATGAAAATAAACGGCAAGAAACACAACTCTCGACATCATTTTCGCGTGTCATTAAGTCACACGTATCTTCAAGTTCAAATAATAATAATAAAAACAAATAAAATATATTTAAAGCTGAACTGTATAACAAATAATTAATTAAGTAAAGGTAAAATCTGGAACAAGGTGGACTTATTTCGTTTTTGATTTTTTTAAAAATCTTTTTAAATAATAAATATTACGTTAAAAAAATCAATTTAAAATATTTACTATTTTAAGAAATAAGAATATGAAAATATAATTTTAAGAAATAAAAAAAAAAATGTATTTACTTACATTCCTTATTAAGTGTACATACACGCATTCATCACAACAACAAGAATAATATTAATAATAATAATAAAAAAAAGAAAAGTACTAATACTGAAATAAAAAAAAAAAAAACAAAAAAACATAAAAACAAAGTGAAAATTGTGTAGAATAAAAATCATGGATTTTTTATGGAAAATCTGCCTTAGAACATTTTCAATATGAAAATAGAAAATTAAAAATGAGAAGTTTTAATGACATTTCTTGCGAGAAGTGGTAATATCTGAAACCTTATAGTTTTTAGTTATATATTGAAATTAACAGATTATTGTACTCTATGTCATATACTATATGTTATTTTTATTTTGGATCAGTCCGAAAACTTAAGTGAAAGCTTACAAATTTAACTCTTGCAAATTAATTATTTTATATTTTTAAAATATTTTTAAAATTAGAATTACTTGAAATTAATGTAAAAAAATAAAAAAAAATTATTTGAATTTCAAAATAATAAATTATTAAGCCGGCAAATGATGCTCTCGATTGCTGTAGGGTATGTGTAGGGTTACTTTGCACTCGTAATATGCTTATTGTTCACTTTATTATCAGTGAAGTGATAAATAGCGAAATAGCAGAATTAAACAGACTGTGTAAAATGAGAGAAAAACAATTCAATCTGCATTATAAGATGCAGTAAATAATGTTTTAATAAAATTTATTCGTCAGACATTAAATCAGTTGCTTGATGCTTGATGCTTTTAAATTAGAAAATAAATTTAAACTGGAAAAAAATAAATAGTAATATAATTTTTTATTACAGTATCCGTATTATAATGATTTTTGTATTAGCAGAAATATTTTTTTATTAAAGAAATTAAATGATTTGTTAAAATCATTTAGAAATCAGAAATTTCTAGATATTACGACTAAAATTCAGTTTCCTTACTGAAAACAATGTGTAAATTCATAAATCCAATCTACAATAGAACCACACATCCTCATATAAATTAGAAACAATATAACCTTTTAATCTACAATAAAACCACACATCTTTATATAAATTAGAAACTATATAACCTTTTAAGCTAATTAAATGACGTAGAGATGGGATAAAGGGTTAAACTTCTTCAAATGAATCGTATGATATGCGCATATGTAAAAGCTAAAATATATTTTGTATTCTTTTCATACAGAATATTTTATATACATATTTATATATGTATATAATTAAATATATTTATCTTGCAAAATAAACTGCAAGATTTGAAAAATGTCCGGCGCCACATAGTCATGAAATATAAAATTCGGATAAACTACTGTACTAAAATTTCGGGAAAATAAACGCTTGTAAGTGTAAAATGATTATTAAAGAAAATAAAGCGGTATGAGTTTTTGTTCTTCAGTAGAACAGCATTGTGGTACAAATCATTGTGGTACAAACCATGAAGGAATTACAGCAAGAATTTGCTGTTTGTAACTAAAGTTAAGAATGAGCAGTTGGCATCTCAAATAATATTTATTTATTATTATAATCAAATTTATTTCAAGTTTTGTTGTTTCAAATATAATTTTTAAATGTGAAATAAATATAAGCAATGGAGTAAATGTAAAGAAAATACAATTGAAATGAGCGTATCTTTTCCTTAAACAAATTAATATGCTGTACTATATGGGTATTTAGCAAATACCCAGCAGCGTTTCGTTCTCCGAAACAGCCGCTGTACAAAATTTGTATGAGAATAAAATATACAAACCGGAAAGCACTGCGCAACTTTTTTGTTGCAATTGCGCATTGTGCATTCAGGGGTATGTTACGATTGCAGTCACGGGTCATTTTTACCCCATTTCGCGGACCACAGGTTGGGAATCATTGAACTGTATCTGGCATTGATTAATGGGACATTAAGTCAATAGGTGGATTACAGTCAGTTACATTAATTTAACCTTATATGCATTAGTTGGAAGACTAAATTAAAATCATTAATAAAAAGCTATCAAAAGTTAAATTGTCCAAAATCAGTAATAAGGCAGATTTTCACTTATATGAAATACAATTTTAAAATTTAACTCCTACTGGTACACTAAAAATAATATTTAAAATCAAACAATCCGCATTTGATCATTTTTAGGTTCTAGATTAGGTTAGGTTGGAGCGCCAGCGTTGTGCACTACAGCTCACTTTAACTCAAATAGTTTTTGAAAATATTTACATTGAATAAGTTTTGGAAATGTCTAATCTTTAAACAAAAATCTATTTTAAACAAGTTAACTGAAGTTCAGAGACGAGCCTTGATATTTAATCAGTGAACATATATACCTATGCATTTGGACTAAATACGCCTAAGTCGAATGTCTTATATACATAGATAAATTAAATTGATCAAAATTTCAATAGAAGACTACTTATAATTATAATGACGTAATAATAATAAATAATAAAATAAAAAGATGTAGAAAGTAAGAATCATATATATTATATTATTATATATTATATATATGTGTAATTACCATATTTGACATTAATTTAAATTGTATTAGTTATTTATATCAAAACTTGGAACTTGAGCATTGAAAGTTTGTGCAGCCTTGGCTACTTGTGGATAAACACGATTAGTCCTCGCTTCTAATTTGATAGGCACGAGTTCTAAGCCTGGCACTTGCAGTCCAAACAAATTATATACGGACTATAAACTATCTAAATAAAATTCGATTATTCCCTAAGACCACTGATGAGGAGTACTTGGCAATACTCGAAACAGCGTTGTGCACTACATGGTCAGCCAAATTTCAATAAAATTAAAATAAAATTTTTGTGTTTGTTCTTTCTTTCTTTTTTTCCTATTCGAAAAGTTCCCTAAAAATTTAAATATCGCTTCTTTGTCACTATAAAGAAAGCGTAGCTTTACCAGCAACAATAATACATACTTTATAAAATAATTACTTAATGAGAATCCATTAACTTAACCATCTCCAGCGTTAAGTTTATTGATGATTTAAGCAGTATTTATAGTATGAAAATAAATAATTTAATTTACATATATTTTCAGAGATCGATTTAGAAGTAGACGCAGAGCATCGATAGCCCCTCTCCCTGCTTTACGTTTGAATAGTAAAGAAATGTTAGCCAGTGATTTTGATACACACAGCGTCGCCAGTAACCAGGCTTCCATAACAAGCATTAATTCTCTTGCGAGTTTATTAAGAGACAAAATGCAGGTGAGTTCAATTATTTAATACTCGTACTTGTAAAGGCAGGACAAAAGGATAAGAATAGGAATTGGCCCTGATCGTGGCATTACATTTCTAAAAATTATCCCTAGATGCATAAGTAATAGGGCAAAAATCAAATTAAAGAATTACTGGAGGAAAGAAAGAAACTTTGATTTTTGTATTTCACGTTAACAAAGTATGAAAAAAAGATAAATAAAAATTATTGAAATTATCAGCAATTTTATATATTTTATATTATTTAGTTTATAATTAAAAAAGTTAAAGTTTATAAAGTTAATAAAATTTATTAATATTTATTCAATATTTAGTTCAATATTCAAAATTAAAATAACCAATCTTTTACGAAATCGTCATATAGTAGTCATATCCTCATGTAAAACATTCAAACTACTTCTAAATTGCGCACGAAAATTGTTCCAGATTCGCTATGGGTCAGAACCAATTTTATTTCTAGCTAAAAGAAGCTAAAAAAAGCTTTTAGCTAACTTTTAAGAATTGAAAGGATCTTTTTTTTATATTTTTATTAATAAAAAATACATTATTTTCTTTTTATCAATATCCTTAAATAAATAATATTTGATGAAACATATATACCTATATACCTTAAATAAAAATTTTGTGTTCTGTTATAGGCTTTCCCGCACATTATACGAAAGAAAAAACGAGAGACCAAGGATTATAAAATAAAAATCTTTGTCATTGTGATGTTTTGCATTATAGTGTCTCTCGTAAGTATTCTACACTATATTTACTTTCACACTACTAATTTCATCTCATTTTTTTTTCTTTGAATAGATCGGCTATGCTTATGTGGGGTACCATGAACATATTCTTACGAAGTCACATTTTGATAAAATTAAATTCAGTTCAAAAGATCGCAGTTTCCACATAATGAATTACGATTACAAGGTGGTTATATCAGGCAAATTGGGCACAACACTTGGCAGTGAAACCCGGCCGTATAGTTGTCTTGAAGATCATCGCAAATATGATGGGAGTGTGTGCTTAGAATGGAGTGGACATTCCAGGCTATATATGAGCTTTCAAGACAAAGGAGTGTTTCGTTGTTATAATTTACGTTGGCAAGCGTTGGCGTCGGGAGTATTTCCAACTGATTGTTATGAATTAAATCGTGATAATGGTCTATGGTTTGGGGGTGGAATAACGAAAGGCATGGATTGGTCATTAAGCAATGCGAATTTTAAATTCTCTCCTTTTACGACTGGAGATGCAAAAGTGCATCAATTTGGCAATGCCATAAAGCGATACTTTATTAATTCTGCCGGTGTGGCTATACAGGTGAATGAAAAAACACCGCTGTATATAAGTGTTAACCAAACAGAAAATAAGTTTTGCCTCCGTGCAATGAACGACAATTTCACTTTTATTAATCATTTAACTGAACTTCCTGAATTGGAATACAAAATTTGCACAACAGAAGATATGCGCAGTTTGCATATGCTAATGACCCAACAAAGTCTTTGGGATGGCTTGAAGGAAGATGACATTAAAGCGTTACACTCGCTCATTGAAGAACCCATCTGGAAAATACCATATCAAAGCGGAATGGACTCAATTAACGAAACATCAATTTATAACTATTCGGAACAAGTAATTGATATGGGTTTTATGCGCTTGGGACATATTTTAGTGAATGAATTTTGGCAGAATAATATTGGTGATCTCACCGTTGACTCAACACGCTTTCCTACACTTAAAAACACAATAGATGTACTACATAGAAGAGGTTTCAAAGTCGTTTTTACTGTACAACCATTTATCAGTACAGATAGTGAAAACTTTAAAGAAGCAGTAAAAAACAAGTTACTTATTTATGAACGACATTCAGAACGAAGTATACCAGCTTTAACACGATATAAGAGTACAACGAGTGCAGGTGTATTAGATATAACAAATAATGCTTCAATTCCTTGGCTCAAAAATAAACTGCAGCATATGAAAGAAGTATATAAAGTGGATAGTTTCTACTTAGATTTAGGTACTGGATACAATTTGCCGCACTATTACCAGTGCAGAAAGACATTAGATAATCCAGATGTGTATGCTAAATTATTTACCAACAGTTTGGAAGGCATTGGTGTGATGGGAGTTTCTACAGCAAGTGTTGTACCTAAACCTCCTACTTTTCTCAGCACCACACCAGTAAACTCTTCTTGGAGTGGTCTACGGGAATTACTGACAATGGTTTTAAATTATGGTGTTAATGGATATCCTTTTATATTACCAGGAGTAATAGGAGGAGACTACGAACTAACACATACTGTTACTAAAATGATCTCCTTTTATTCACTTGGTCAACCAAATGTACCTGAACAGGAATTATTTATACGTTGGTTCCAATTAATGACTTTTTTACCTTCAATGCAATTTAGTCACTTACCATCTGAGTACAAGAGTGATTATATTATTGATATAGCCAAAGAATTGACATCAATCCGACAGAAAATTGTAATTCCTCTGCTGAAGAAGTACCTCAGCGAATCAATGAATGAGGGACTACCACTTGTCAGACCGTTATGGATGCTGGATCCACATGATCCAGCTTGTTTAATGGTAAATGACGAATTTTCTGTAGGTGATGAATTGATCGTAGCACCAATTTTAGAAAAAGCGGCAGAAGAGCGTGAAGGTATTGTCTACTCAGTATAATTTTACAAAACGAGTATAACTAAATGTATTATATTTGTTTTTAGTTTATTTGCCGCAAGGCGTATGGAAGGATGGCATTGATGGGTCTTTGCGTAAAGGTAGTCGTTGGATGCATGACTACAAAGTTCCAAAAGAAAAAATAGCTTATTTCATAAAATTACCCGATAATACAAGATTTTAGTATGTGATAGTACATAAGACGAAACTAATTGCTGACACTAAAAGAGCTGCAAAAAAATTTATCTCATTTTTATTCGTTTATATAATAATAATTTATGCTTTATTACAAAATTATCCTTAATTAGCTGACTTGTAAAAAATGCCTATGTTATGAGTATAAATTAAGTACAGTACTAGAAATATTTTCTAGTCACACTCAATACTAGAAACTAATTTATATTAATAAATTGATAAGAAAAATAAACTAAAAATTATATTAACACTGTTTTTATCAATAAATAAGTAATATCGGCCAATCAGTACAAAACGTTTAAATTTTATAAATTTTTCACGCGCAATATAGTATTTTTTGTTTTCTCAGATTTCACACAAACTGGCAAATCTTCACATGCTTCAGTTTCAGCGGGTCGATTCAAAATGTTGCACATATTATCCTCAACCACAACTTCGTGCTGATCCAAGCACACAACTGAACGGCGCTTTAAAGGTTGTAACGCTCCAGGCGATTTACAGGTAACGGGACAAAATTGCCATGGACCTGGCCACCAATGTGCCGGACATTGGTTTTTGTTGCACGGACGTGAGATACGACCAGGTCTTGAATTCTGGGCATATGACCAACAAAGTGCGTCTGTGGACGTTACTAAAAAAGATTATAACTTTATTAAAAGAATAAATAAGAGATTTGTTTCAATAAAGTGCTGTTAGATTTAAAAATAGTTGAAATAAATATTATTGTTTTCACAATACCATACTACATAACATAAGAATTAGTAATTAAAATATACATATATGGAATCTTACAATGTCCATTTTTATAACAAATCGGCTCTCGATATTGAATGCCACCACCACAACTTGCACTACACTGAGTCCAGTTACTTAATTTCCATGTGAAATGAACAACACTGCTTACGTTAATAAACGGTAAAGTGAACTCATAGTAGATGCCTTTATATGGTTCATTTCCATGCACGATAGTCTAAAAAGTTTTTCATAGAATATATTAAATGGTTTGAATTTTTTAATTTATTTTTTTTCAATTACATATAATGTGATAGGATGTTCTATTGGCTGTGGTATTGTTATAGTTTCTTGATCATCAATGCGATCGTATAGACTCTCTGCGCCAGCAATTACGAATTCACCTGGCATTGATATCAAACTCTCTCCGTTTAAATAAAATTTACTGCTATTTGCTCTGGCAATACCTAGAAAGTGTGCGGAGTTATCCAGTTCTTTAATAACAATATGTCTCGCTTTAGATGGTATTGTTACGATTTCCACATACCCTTCCGTGATGTTGAAATTATCATTGAATACTTCCTATTTTATGAAAGATTCAAATAACATATATAGCGATTAATTATCCGCTCAAATATTTATAGAATATTATATTTTCATAATTCATAAACTAAATTTGATTTAAAAATGCATTTAAAAAAAGGATTTGAATCTTATTATATCATTATTATAATGATAAGGATAAATGAATCATATCATCGGTGATTTTCAACATTATCTTTTTTAGATCCTTCATACATATAGTATAAAAAATGTTGATTAACTTTGTCAAAATATTTAGAAAACAAACAACGAAGTATCAGTGACTTTATAGAGCTCAATAAAATAGACCGATAATGCTCATCAAAAGGTTTTTTTTTTTTGAAAAGTAGTGAACTTCAACAACAAAAATTCATTTTTTTTCTATTATTTTAATTAATTAAATTTTTGGCTGACCATACAACTGTTTCGAGTATTGCCAAATACCCATTATCAGTGATCTTGGAATTATTTCTTGTATTTAATTATTCGTAAATAATTTTTTGAAACTGCAAGTACCAGGAATCGAACTCGTCTCCTGCCAAATTTGAGGCTCAACTGACCCAAAGCCGTACTTGCTCATCTATTTGTCTGTTAAAGCTAAAATAGTTCCATTTGTTGACTCAGTTGAATCCTTTATAATTTTTTTATATATGTTACAATAAGTAAAATCGGTTGACTCAATCTAATAGCTGACACAAAACAATTTAAATTGAGTTTTTTTATTATTTAATAAGATATTTACTTGAACTTTAATTTTGATGTTCCTGTTTTCATGTTTTCATGAATAAATATTTTTAGAATTAATGTTACATATCACCATCAAAAATTGTGCAATCGGTTTAAGATCGAAATTAATAATCATTCTTAATATCTTAATATTAAATTAATTCTGATTTTGTTAATTTATTGGTTTAAATCGATAGTTTATACTGCCTGAAATATTATTTTTCAAATTAATAAACATAAATATTAAAAACCAGTTTTATAATTCTTTATTTTGCAATACTAATTATTATATATGATCATTATAAGTATAAGTCATAGTCAATTGTAATTGTTTATATCGTTTGTATTACCTTCACTGTTTTACATTGATCTCCTTTACCACCACAAACTCCGCAACGATCTTCTTGTATATCAGAATCAATAATCCAATCACATCCTACTTTCTGAAATATAGAAGATCCTATATCTTAATACACTTTACATTGATAAAAATATGCAAATATGAATTAAATTAGTTTTTATGATATCACTGTTCAATAAAAAATGAAATTGAAAAAGAAACTCGAACTAGAATATGTGTTTCTTTTTGTAGGTAAGTATTTTCTACAGTTGAAAGAAAGCATTGAACAAGCATGGCTCAATTTTCAGAAACTTCAATATATGGCAGAATATTTATATTGTCACAGATAGTCAAGCTGCAATCAAGTTCCTAGAATCAAAGTAATCTAATTCTTTCTTTAGCTACTGAAAGAGTCTTAGTGAAATATCAGAATAGCATTATAGCTGTGTTATTTGGGTAATATTCCTAAATCCTATACAGCTGATATGATCATATACATTCTCCAACGAAAAGGAACTATAGATATGCTTTCATTTCACTAAAACACTAACCGGGCGTAAAACTCACCGGCAATATAAAGCGAGCTTCTACACCTACCAAAAATATTTTTGGTAGGAGTAAAAATACAAAACTATATAATAAGAAATATATTATTTGTTCTGTTCTATGGTGTAGAGTAAATAATGAGGACTAAAAGACAAAATTTGACTGTATTTATAAGTGTCCTATTTTTAAATTATATAATCTAAAAATACTGTCGTCGAACAATCTGTCCACCTGTGTTAACACCTTAATGAAAAAGTTTGTCGAAATTCATTAAAAAAAGAAGAAAATAAGCGGGTCCTCGTGTAGATAGTACAACAATAAGCCAGTAGATGGCCTAAATGCGTAAATGATAGATGACAGCACGATAATCTTATCTTACTCAACCTATATTTTAATCTCATTTCTTTAAAATAGTCGAAAAACTTTCTGATTTACTAAATAAAATATGTTATGATAACTTTATAAAACTTGGCATACAACAAGTTCTCAAGTTCTCACATTAACAATCGATTTTCAGTTCAGTACACCACATAATGTGGACAATAAAAGCCTTAATATATTCATCTAATTATTTATTTATTTCTTATTAGAGTTGGTGTCAATCAGCCCACAATTTTTTTTTTTTGTGTGGTGGCTGGTCCTGATTTGATGATTTTGGTGATTAAGTGGGTTCAAAGTTTAATTCATATGTTAGTGTGTGTAGTTCCGCCTATCTTTTTAAGATTGTTGTAAGTACATTTAAGTGTTTTGACATAACTCTTCACCATTTTATTTATTGAAAAATTTTCTTCAAAGTAAAACTATTACTTATTCCTATTGCTTCAAAACAATTCTACTAGAAATTATATAATTTATTATAAATAATTGTGATTGAGATTGTAATTACCTTACAAATTCCATCAATGCACATATTATTTGTGCCTAGAGTACAAGGTGTGCCATCGAGAGCAACATCTCCCCAATTTGCGATAATGGTATCATCCAAATCCGTACAGAAAAGCTTACAAGGACTTTCTGAAATAATTTCAATTTTCGTTAAGGATATCTAATACTGAACTTTTGAAACCGAAATACAAACTTTTGTCAAAGAATGGTTGCCACTTATAAATGGCGCCCTGATAAGGTATGTCATCATAGTTTGCACATTGTTTAGCACGAAATCCTTGCTCTCCAATAGGACAAGCATTCTTTTTACATATTTTATATCTTTTTAAACAAATTAAACTATATATATACAAAAGAAATTTTTTTGTTGACTTTATTATATACCTTTTCCTTTCGCCTATGCAAAATAGCCCACCATTTGTTGGCACTGGACTATTACATTCACGCTGTTGCATAGAAATTCCTCCACCACAACTGACTGAGCACTGACTCCATTCCGACCAATTTCCCCAGCCTCCATTTATGGGTGTAATTTTTTCTTCCATTGGCACACATTCTCCATTCTGGCACCACTGCAAAATTTAAATTACTAAATTTTACATCCTCATGCATTTAAATTTGATACCAATCACATACCTTGCGTTTTCCACAAATAGTACCAGGCGCAGTTGGTCTCATATTAGTAACGCACTCACCATTTACTCTACACCACAGAGCAGAACAAATTTCATTCATGGGTGTGCAGGGCTCAACATTACTTTCGGAAACATTAAATTGCTGCCGACATTGTAATTCCGCATTATATAATATGCCCGGCGGTTGTTCGGGATATATATATTGATCAGGTGGTGTTGGAGCATTATCCAAGCAGTCTCCAAGTCCTTGACTATAAATTTATTATCAAATAATGTTTTTAATGTTTGAATCACCATATCTTACTCCAAAAATTGTGTTATAAACTTCCGACTGCAATTGGACCAAGAAACATGTACAGTATCAGCACCGAATGTAGGAGTCATTATATGAACAATAGATCCAACTCGAGGATGGCAACCAATTTTCGCTGAGTCATGATACATACCAAAACTAAACGTATTTGAAAAAACATTACCGTATTAATCTAATAGTGTAAAATAATAATAATATAATGTTTCAATTTTAAGATATTATTAAAAGTCACTTAATAAATTATATTAAATTTTTAATGAAAGTAGTAAACCTGACTATTATCGATTGATATGACGTTACCTTGCCATTGTTGATTTTACTAAATAGAATTCAACACAGTTTTTATAATAAATTTTCAAAAGACTATAAACAATAGTGATTCTATACACAGAGCTTTCCTTCTATTTTATATATAAAATTCGCTAGGTTTTAGGTGATACTAAACAATATTAAGTACCGGCTCTTATACGTATCCATAAAATAATATTTATATATACAATTGCAAAATATTTTTCCTACATTATACCATTTGGTAATCCATGTACTTACAACGTCATACAAAAAATTATTGGGGCACATATAATGATTGACGAAATTAGATAATGTATAGTACCACCGTAACTGGGATGCTATTACAATAGGATTTGATTATGATTGGTGATTTACGATTGCTGACGTATTTGCTTGCTGTATGTTAACTCAATTGGATATTCGGATGAAACATAATGTTAGTAACTGTTTAATTACTGAGTAGAAACATTTTATTCTTTATGAAATAGACTGGTTGTTCAAGTCTCTTATGCTATACCTAAGTTGATCTTATACTTTACAACTGTTGGTCTTACCAGTGTATTATAACTTAATCTAAAACACATTCTATCCATGAGGAATAGCCATAGCTTTAAAATAAGTAAATACTAATTCCATAACTAATATTTATTCCAAGAAATAGGAGGAAATTAAAATTCCATAAATTAGTCTACATTGGATATATGTATGTATTGGATATACCATATATATGTATATATATGTGATCTATTCTATTTCATCATGTATTGAAATAAAAGATATAAGCATATACTTAACTAAATAAGTATTCCATTCTATATGTATTTAGTTGTATTTACTGACAACTATGAGCAATTAAAATCAGACGATATTAGGTTAGAGTGATTTAATTACTAGTGCTCCGTTAGCTTAGGGTTTATCAACGAATACGATCACAGTTTCACTTTAAATTCCCAACAAGTGAACTAATTGCGAAATGAATTTCAACTTGTACTATGTATATATTTTTATTTTACATACATACATATTCATTAGTAAGCACTTAATTATACGGATATATATGAGTATGACGAATCCGGTCTATCACTTAAGCAATATGGTTCGCCAACGAATAAACCAAGCAGTCTGCCGGCGATTGAGTTGTTCAGCAGAACAGCTTTGAATCAATTAGAACGCGGTAGACTGGCAGGCACTTGCTAGCCCACTTATCTGGCATTTACATGCTACAAATTCACTTGATGTCATTATTGCGATAAGCTAACTACTCAAACTGTGGCCACTAAATCACGTTAACGATCGATTGATTAATTAGTTGTGAATGAATATAAATGAATTTACATTGAACGATTTTTAAACGAAAACAATTCCAATAAAAAATACAAAGGAAAGAAACCTCAGGCATTTCGCACGTGGGCGTAAAGTAACTTACCGCGCGAGGGTGTACGTGTACAGCATTGATTCATTACCATGCTGAGCCAAAAACTGTGAATTTCATTTTAATTATATTTACGACTAATAAACTGTGCAAAACGGAATATATGGGAAAATCTTTGAACGCTACACTATGAGGCTCCCAAGTTAATGAGGCTAATTTAATGAGAAACTTGTTTTTACAATTCTGTACAAGTATTTCAAGTACTTCCCAATAAAAAAATTTAAAAATATAATTTTAGATAACATTACTATGGATTTTAGTGGCAAATAAATACAATAAAATAAAATATGTCGCAATTAGAAACATTTAATCATTTAAACGGGTAAAATAAGAGTACGGATTGTATGATTGAAGTAGCATCCAATTCTCTATTCACATAGTGCAAGTAGTTGTAATTTTGTTTGGCTCGCTTTACTAAGAATCTGTTCACACAGCAAATCTCAATATTATCTCAATATTGCGCATTATATGAGTTTTTGTAGTTGCGTTCGTAAATGAAATGCTGAACGTTGTATCAAAGAATATCCGACATAAAAGGTATTCTTTGCGTTGCATCATTTGGTTTTCTTCTTCTTTATTTGCCAACTCTATTGTGAATATTGGTGATTATATAACATTATAATATATTGTTTAATTATAACATAATAACATAACATAATTCTATATTGTAACATATTTCTACATTCCGTTTTGCTTTAGTGTATTATATACTATTCACAACATCGTAGAACGGTTGCCATTGCTATCGCTGAATTCGTTATTGTGAATTGAAAAATTGAATTTAAATGGTAAAAATTATAACTAAGGTGTTTGAAAGAATAAGTAAAGTAATAGTGAAAATTACGATTACTTGTTCTGTGTGAATAAGCTATAATGATTGATGAAATCTAGTTGAGATCGCTAATTATTAAGCTCTAATAATCATGATGAGACTCCAATTAAAGCAATACTGATGCTTTGAATGGATTAACAAGTTTAAAAAATAAGTATTTTATCGAAAACCAAAAAACAGAAAAAGTTTACATAATGGTGAAATAGTCTAAGATATGCTATCATCGCTGATGTGTTATATGTACACCACATTTAAGACTGGATAAGACTGAAACTGGATACATATTTCAGTTTTTGTGACTTAAGCTCACAATTCCAGTAATGGAAACATTTTTGTTTAGATAATAGATTTTTTTTATACACATATTAGTGACATTTAAAATTTAATCTTTACGCAGACTAAAATCGTATCATTAGCGTGTTTTTCCGATGACTGCGTCTTTGGAAACACTTAAAAGACAATTTTAAAAGTAAGAAATAAATATTGAATGTCCAAGCACTTCACAAAATTATTAAATTAATGTTTCTTTTTGGCTATACAATAGCAATTCGGAGAAGTTCATCTTAATTTTTTTTTATTCAATATTCGAGTCTATTGCTAGTTTTTAAAAATTGTCATCTACAATCGATGGTCAAGACTAAATCTATATTATAATTTTACGTCCTATGCCGTGTAGGCTTAACACTACAGTGCTTGAAAACACTCATATTAATACAATGCGTCAATCAACGCCCCATTGGAATTTCAAAAGAATTTTCCGTCGGTGCCAATGAAGAAATGTGTGCAAAACACAACTTCCACCTTGGTTAGATGCGAGGCCTACCTACAAACCTCTGCTGATCTTTGGGTCACAGCACCCGGTGATGAATACGCAAATCCACGCCAAATGAAGAATAAACAAATACCTGATCATTCTACCCGCGTAATTGAGGGTATTAACCACAGCCACTACGAGTCCAACCTCAACGGGTCAGCACAGACGAAGCTGAAGGCCACTGAAGCCACGCAGGTTGGGACAACACATACTACCTTATACACTTTTTGCACAAGTGTTGGCAGAGCGCTGGGATTTTATTCGCCTTTAAGACAGGCATGCCTACCGCGGGAATATTCTAACTATACAAATTATCTTTACAAATTAAAAAATTTTAAACGAATTTAATGGTCTGTGGCATTGGCAGGAATAGAGAAAAATTTTAATAAACTTTAGTTACGGTGATGAGGTACCGCTACAAGTTAGTCAAAAGAGTGTGCTGTTTTCTCACTAATCAATGTCAAAATGTTACAGTTTTAATAGTAAGTTATCACAAACTAAGCCAACCCATACAAAACACAACACCTATTGCGAGTAAATTGAAGCACAGTTAAATAGTACCAAAATAGTAGCTAAACCATGTAATTGACAGCTAATATTTGACTGACTATATTCCATGCTTTTATCGTTATGACCGAAAAGAATATAAAAGTGATATCACCATACGTAGTATGTTTGTCAGCTTAACATGTTCATATAAAATTTTTTTATATACATCAAAGAAATGTTTTGATAGCAAAATGTTTAAGGGTTTCTAGATGTTTTTTTTTGTGACTTTTTGATGTTGAAGTGCTGCCAACAATCAAAATTTCAACAATTTAAATGTTATTTATCTATTTAAACGTTAATTTTTAATGCCAGACTCAGTAAGTAGTAAACTCTATCAGCTATAGTGATACCATAGACTTCCTCAAATACCTCTGTATAAGTCTGACTCTGTTTGCAATTTGAGTCTAGAAATGTTTAATGTTCAAATACTCTGGAAATATTGATGTGGCCAGAAACCCTGATATCACAGACTAGATCAATTCTATTTTGTACGTGAAATTGTCTGAAGAAAATTTTTTCGAAGTTTTTAATAACAATTTTTTATAAAACTTAGAAGATCTATTTGAACTGTAGCTACCTCAAGCTAAATTGCACAAAAGTGTGGCTTATACAAATACTTATACATACATACATATGTACAAAATAATATCAGCAAAAAAATATTTGTATTTCTATAACATATTTGTAATGTTATAGTAGCTCCACGGGTGGTACTGAAACCATAGCTACCGTACATTTTAACAATCAAAATAGGCGTTCATATCTGAATGAATTTAAATTAATTAAAATTAACAAAGTCCACATCAATTATAAAACATTTCAATTTTTATAAAAACAAAACAATTTTGATGTATAGAAACCAAAATCGATGCGGTACAAATACATATTAAATACCCTGTACTATATCTTAAAAGATATAGTTTTAGTTTGAGATAATTAGTAATAAGAGTAATTAAATGACTTATCAGTTGAACTTAAAGTAATTTTGAAATATTGTAATTAAATTGTTTGAATATACTACTTACTTGTGCCCCAACTCGTGTGCAATCGTATGAGAAAGCATAATGCCATTATCTTCATTGACACTACAAGATTTCTTTGGCTTGCACATACCACCAACATTTGCCAATCCCAAAGTCCTGCAGAATAAAATATTATCAACATTTTTTTTTTTTGAATTTAATTTAATTCATTATAGGAATTTATTATTTAATTATATTAATAACAGTAACTTACATGCAATTATTTCCGCATATATTTTTCCGGGTTATAAGTATGGCGACGTCATGATGGTAAGGCTCATTTTCATTGGCTTTGTTTAACTTGTGTTGCCAGCTATTTAATATTCATTGAAAAACACATTAAATTGTACAAATTGTTAATTATTTTATAAATGTGTAATTATATGTAATTAAAATGTTGTATTTTATAGATTAATTACACTTATTATGGCTACTTGTGCAAGTTATACGTATACATTATTCTAATATGATAATATAAGATATATTATTTGAGTAAACAATTTTTCCAGCTTCGAGAAAATGGGTAAAGTGCATATGCCTTTTTGATAAGGTGCTCTATTGTTGTCTAAGATTTGCAATCAAATATAATAGATAGAAATATCAGCAAATATGCTAAATAGGAGAGATATTTTTATTCCAAGCACTCTTTGAATAGATATAACTTTTGTCGCGGCTGTGGCTCTACGGAAGAGGAGGAAACTGTGTGTCATTTTATGTGTCTGTGCTAATCCTTAACCAGAAGAGATTTAATAACATAGGCAGGTTTTTTGACTTGTCAGTTTTGTTACAAGAGTCGTGCCTGTGCTGTTCAAAGTTGTTTATGAGAAGACTGCTTTGGTCTTTATATCTGTTTTGATGGTCTTTTGAGTCTGGCGTAAAAGCAAAGTTTTATCCATGGTAACAGAACTAGTCATTATTTGTGCTCAAGTTGAGTTTTGTGTACAAGGCCCACGCCAACCTAATCTAAACTTTGTATATCTCAGTTAATTAAATCTTTCAAAGGACCATTTTTATACATAGTATCACAAGGAGTCATTTGTATTGCTCAAGTTGGTTTTTGTATACAAGGCCCACGCCCACCTAATCTAAACTTTGTATAACTCAGTTAATTAAATCTTTCAAAGCAAAGTTTTTATATATGGTATTACAAAGAGCCATTTCTTGTGTTGTAATGGGCTTTTGTGTACACAATGCCGTAACTCCAACCTAACCTAACACATATTTGTATACCACAGTTAATCCAATCTTTCAGAAGAAAGTTTTAATCCGTGGTATCACAACTAGAGATTATAAGTGTTCCAATTGTATATCCCAGGTGATCAGATATTTAAAAAGAAGAGTTAAATCGCATTATTCAATGTCCTTTTAACTTACAAAGTAATCATTTAGATTGAACATGAAATTGAAATTCTTATTACTTTACTAAAAACAATTAATATTGTACATATGTATATATGTATGTATGTATATTTTTAATCATTATTGAAGAATATTTAAGTTATATACATATACGAAAATATACATATTTAGTATAATTAAGGTATTGATATGAATTAAAAATGGTTTGAAGCATATTTAATGACTTCAATAAGAAGCTAACCAGAAGGATATCAATTAAATATAGAACAAATATAATTAATTTAATATAAATGAAAAAAATCTTTAATAAAACCTCAAACATGACATTGTGTGCACACAAGCCAAATAAATTAAAAATGAAATTCAGTAGTCATTCTACAGTACACGGAGTTGATGGCTCCTGCAGCTAACAGCGTCTAGACCAGAAATTATCTTATCAGAGAAACTCAATCAAAGAAAATACACACAATAAGAAAAAAGCGAGGAGAATTAAACTGGCGCCCGTCAAATCGTTGCCTAAGTCAAGAAACAAAAAATGCAAATGCTGATCTGTCTCCGCGTCTGTCTGCATCTGGAAGCGTTCATGAGCAACAGTGCGCGTTCTTACGTGATTGTGAACGCAAATGAATATTTAAAACTTAACCGCACACATATGAGATACGAGATATGCATGAAACAAATTATTAACTATAAGCGTATTTAGTGTTCAGTGTTCAGTGTTCAGTGTTGAGTGTGAGTACACATATCACATGCCATATGAGCACTTCAATCTACGATCGCATTAAAAGAGGAAAGAAAACATCGAAACTCACCTACAAAATGTATCTAAATTCTGCTGCGCGTTTTGCGTCAAATTGAGGCCTGGATGCGCTGATTCCTCCTCGAGCAAAATAATCTTCACAACAACGATTTCAATGGAGTTGCCAATGCTCGGGTCCTTGTAGAGCGCAGACACCATATTCATTATGGTTAACAGATAGGTTTCAGTGTCATTGTGGAAAGCGACCATTGTTGAGTCGCCGACGATAAGTGCTTCCACATGACGTGGGCTGCTAATTGAGCGCTTCATGCGATGTTCTGCGTGCGTTGGCAAATGCAGTTTTGACTTTTGCTGATCTTTGGTGCTGAAATTGGCAAAACCTGGGTACGTATTCTGGGTAATGGCGCTGACATTCTCAGCTGCGGTTTGGTATTTAAATTTCGTTTGCGATTGTTGCTGATATCTGTGGTGGCGCTGTTGGTTGTCATTATGATGGTTTTGGTTAAAGTGATGTCTCCGAATTTTTCTGCCACCTTGGATTTTGACCTGTTTTTATTTTCATTCGTATAATTTTGGAATGTTTTTTTTTTAATTTTTTTTTTTTTTGGTTTTCATGATGGGTTTTTATAATTGGTATTTGGTTGGAGTTTAACGAGTGTAGGTGCAAGTGTTTATAGAAAAGAAAAAGCAAAATAAATATTTCATTTTAAAATTAACATTTTAATTGAATTTTGTTTACAAATTTAGTTTGTTACTTTGCCCTGCGGTTGCCATTCGAGTCTCGTTTCAATGCGTCTACGAGGTTCCTTTGTGCCGCAATTGCTCACTGCAGATTTGTGTTGGTGTTCCTGGTGCTTTCGTTTACGATTCTTCCGCTTCGTCTTGGTATGTGGCTAAAATTTAAATAAATATATTAAATATTTATGTTTGTATATTAACATGTAATTTGCGTGACAGATTGGACAAAATGATTTCACGATCTACCTATGTATGACCGTTCAAACGGAAAATACAATTTGCTCATGGCAATTTTAAGTTTGTCTACGGGTTCAACTTTTGTCAAAAAAAAATTTTTTCTAATTTTAGTTGAAGAAATGCTTTTGTGTAAAAAAATCTTATACCTTAAATTTTATTCAAAAATTAATATATTTTTTTTTTTAATTTACCTTTTCTTTCACTGATGAACGCTGGAATATGACATGAGGATGCCCTCCGTCTGAGTGGGTGTCATCAAGTTTTGAAGGCTCTATGAAATATTCGTTATTTTCGGTTTTGATGTGACCAACCTACACATATTTTTTAATACATTTAACTTTTAATAATTGGAAAAAAATTATATAAATAGTTATATGATAATATAGAAATATTAAACGATCGCAAAAGTATACAGAAGTAATAATAAATTTAAATTACACTTATTCTTTCTGAATTATACAGTATGGAAAGAGAAGTTTTGTCAACTTATGTATAAAAAAAATAAAGGTCAAGTTATATGAGAAGAATATTTACCTACAAAGTTCGAATTGTAAAAATAGCTAAATACAACAGACCTCTTATATTGGTACTTCTTGATTTCTGATAACGTATTGATATTATCTGTTATTAATCAAAAAATCACTCGGAGAATAGACTTCAAAAATTAAAAGCATAGTTTACAGGGACTTTTCACAAAAAGATCTACTGGAAGAACCATATGCTCATCAACCAAGGTTAGGTTATACACTCACTTCCGTATCTATAGTCAGCAGCTTAATCTCAAAAATAAATTGTCCATTTATAAACAAATACTGAGGCCGACCTTATTCTATCATTACGTCGCTAATAAAAAGGCTTCCACAATTACTCTCAAGAAGATTTTAATGGGGACGTGGTACGTAAGGTCAAACATACTTACGTAGAAATCTGCTTATCGGGAACTTATCGCTAAAAGTTTTTTATACCATTGATTCCCATACGAGCGGTCACCTCTGTTTGCTGAATGCATTCTCCGTCACTATGGACATTCGTACAATAAATGAAATACTTTCCCCAATGCTGTCGGTGGACTGAGATACCAAATTCACATATGATTGACTGAAGTTACTTCATTTAACAACAAATACGAAAAGCAATTATATTAATATAACAGAGTTTGTTGCTTAAGTCTTTTGTATTTAACTGAAATTAACGATTTTATTATACTCTGACGAAATAAACGATTATACATTTCAATGATATTATTTATATAACTGAACTAAATGGAAATTTAGAAATTAACAATAAATTACATTAAGTATAATCCATTAAAAAAAGAGATTAAACTTAACAAGAGTCATCTAATTGTGATTTTAATATTTGTGGTCATTTATAATACAATCTGTAAAAATTTATATCTAAACGTTATCAATTTTTTTTAGTTTTCAGAAGTCGTGTCGTCAGTGTCTTGGCAAACTAAGCTCGAGTAATTGTTAGAGGAAATCTATCTATCTATCATATACATTGTGATCAAAAAAGAATGACAATTTTTGTCCAATCGGTAAATATTTTTATTTTCGCGCTGGCAACACTATTATACACATTCTGTCAAAGTTAAACGCATATCGTACGATTAGTTTTTGTTTAGCGTCTATACAAAGAATTCGAAAAACTTTCGTGTAGCGATGTTTAGCTGAATTTCATTAAAAAAAAGCGTCGTTGTGATGTGGCCAAAGAGATGATTTCCAACGCAGATAGTGACCCCACATTCATCGAACGTATCGTAACTGGTGATGAGACATGGGTCTATGAATTTGACATGCCAATTTGACCATCAAACAACAATCGACCGAATGGTGTTTCGAAGGTGAGCCGAAACCGAAAAGAGAACGCCAAAGTCGGTCCAAAATCAAGGTTATGCTAACTGTTTTCTTCGATATTCGTGGTGTGGTGCACTATGAATTCCTTCCAGACGGTCAAATGGTCCAACGGTCAATAAGGAGTATTATTTGGCCGTTATGCGTCGTTTGCGTGAGACCATTCACAAAAAGAGGCCAGATTTATGGAAGGAAAACTCGTGGACCATGGAACCCACAATAACATGAACTAAAGGCCATACCTTTGTCGGCCTATAAAACTTGTATGGAAAATTGGATCAAGTGTGGCATGCATGTATTGCCGCATGAGGAAAGTACTTTGAAGGCGACAATAAAAAAAAAATTATTAAAAATTAAAATTTTGCGTTTTTTATTAATTCTCGTTCTTTTTTGATCATAAAGTATAATGTACAGAATGTTTTGTGCCAAAAAGCCTTAACTTGGCATGATGATTTTTTAATCCACGAATACAATCGTTTGAGTGCGGACTCCAATTTCAATATCTGCTGAGATAGAGGGTATCATATCTAAAAAATCTTTAGTCAACAATTACCAATTATATCCCAATATGCCAAGAAATTTTTTAAACATTTATATATATTTAAATAGAATCAAAATATTTCAATATAATATTGTGATATGTAACTAAGAGAACTTCTAGGTTTTTACAATAATAAATCATAGCGATTCAATATTAGAATTTTTTTTATTTCATCATTCTTACAGTAAACAAAAATACATATAAAATTAAAAAAAAGTGATATTATGAAGCACATTAAAGCTATTTCCATTGTTAAAAAATCTCTAGCATTAATCTTTTTTATAATTACAAATCCATACAATATGGGACAAGGGTCGTCAGATTTATTGCGTTCGCTTAAAGCAGTTGATTCTGTGCTTAGAGAGTTATTTTTAAAAAAAAATTATAAGTTATAAGAGCATTTTATTTTGAAGCTTCAATAATTTTTTAATGTGTCCAGAAATCCAAGCATTCAATTGATTCAATTACTATTAACTATTAACTTTCGTAATCATAGATTTATATACGTTTTCTTGTAATTAATTTAATTGCAGTATATCGTAGAAGTTATTTCAATCCAAACTTTGGTATTCTTGCAACCAGAAAAGTTAAAAGAGAGACGAAGTTCATCTGTGCCTCTCGCGTAAAAGACTCATTATTATATACAATTGTTTATTTTTAAAATAAATTCATTCATGTAAACAAATCTATATTTAGATCCAAAAGTAACCTTTCGTGGAATTTTGATGGCAAAACAGAAGCTAATATTAACACCTATCAACAAGTATAAATTACTTGGCGAAGAGGAGACCACGCCAAGAGCATTCAGAACTGAAACGTAAATGAGAAAAGCGATTACTTGACAACATAGGTAGGTATGATGAGGCATACAAATTGTAAAGTAAGTGGAAAAATGCTAAGCGGAACCATGAAACGTGCTTATAACTTTAATGACAAATAATTATGGCTTCCGCTAATGTGAGCAACATTAACTTGAGCACGAGTTATGGCGCCAGCTGGACCCCACGAAACAAAATCTCACAGAAAAAAAATTTTAATAAAATACTTTATCTTTGGCGGAAAGTAGGTAATAAATAAGGTACGAGTAGTTTCAGAAGAAGTAGCGTATTTTGTGCTGAAGTCGTAATTTTGAATTGCTTTGACCAGCGAAAGTAGGCGTTAAAGTTCGCGGCGCGTTTTTTACCCAAAACCATGTACGAATTTATGCAGCTTGTACTTACATTAATCAAGTTATGCACCACATTAACTGTTAACAAAATAAATAATAACAATACAAGTACTTACCAGACCGTGGCATGTTGAGATAGCAACTCTGGATTCAAATTGCCCACGTACTTTGCCATGAAAATGGCAATTTGTATTTCTGAACGGCCTTCTTCGTGTCCGCAGATCCCGACGATGTCTTTCGATGATCAAATGCGGTGTCATGAAATAGTTGTGAGGTCTGATATTTTACAAATATTTTTAATACTTAACGCTTGTTTTTTTATGAAGATTTTAAGCTTACTCTAATTCCAAGTGTAGATTTTCACTATTTAAATTTAAGTGATAATGCAACTCTGTTGCGCTATTCTCTTCTGTGTTTCTTCTAGGACGAATATGCTCATATTGATACGATATATCATGATGATGTGTTAAATTGTGAGTTAGAAATTCACCGTATCTATTCACTTTTTTGGGAATTATTAGCTCTCCAGATGCTAACTCACCAGAATGCAAACCTATAAAAAATATTATAAATATAATTTTAAATTAAAATAAATCATTTTTTTCAATGTTTCTATAAAAAAATTTATTGTGAAGATTTAAGAAAAGAAAAGATTGAATAATAAAATTTTATAAACTGAAAAATATCTATAAAATCAAAATTTAAACCATATGACATATACTGTAGTTTCTGCCCAACATTTGTTAGACGATGTCAATACATATTTTCACTTTCTTAGATCCCTAAACGACATCACCAATATGTACATTAAACAGATTTTCCGTTTTATGACACAGTTGCGATTCAAAGTGGATATCTTACTGGTAAATATACCCTATATCATTAGTGTGGTTTTAAAGTAAGACCGTGATTAATAAGACGATTTGCCACTGGTATAGTACATACATATATATATAGTTTTTTATTTAATCCTGTTGGACAGTCTTTTTTTCTATTCTATGAATTTTCAACTGTTTTAGATTAATTTAGAGCTACTAATTTCAAATTTGTAACTTGTTTTTCTCCTAGGCGTATGGATGACAATGACGGTGCTATGCATAACTAGGAGAGAAGAAGAGATATTTTTCAAATATTACTTAAAATGGTTTTTCCAACTTTTTTTGGACCGCAAAGAAACGGAAAATTTCGTAAAGCATGTTGATGCCAAAAAAAAAACTTTTTTTATTCCTATCAAGTTTAAAAGAAATTCTTATCAGTCGAAAAAATTGTTTTTAACTTGTTAGAGCTGCAATTTTTGAGCTATAGCACATTATTTTGAGAGACCCAGATATATAATAAAAACATGGGTCGCAAATTTGAGCTCAAGAGCGCCAATTTAACTTGAAACCATTAAAAAAGTAAAAAGAACATAGTGCTACTTGAACATAATTGGATCAAACGAATTTAAGTGTTTAAACTAGTTTATTATGAATTATAAGGGTATATGATTTTGATTTTATGAATATAGGTAATTATAACTTAACTATAACTAATTATAAAGTATTATAAAAATTCACTGCAACATCTTGAATATTGAAAGAACTTCTTTAAAAATTTTTTTTTTCCATATATATTCATCCAATTTTTTTTTAAAAAGATAAAATAAGAAATTTACTAAATGCATTTAAAGTATATTTGATATGTTTGCGGAAATATTATTTCCGTTAATGGTTGTTTTATGAGAACTTCGTTTTTCATCACAATCGAAGAATTTAATTTAAAATTTTATATATTTCACGATTAAACAAAAACATTTAGCAGTTTAACATTTATGTAATTCCAATAAAATTTTATTTCGTTTTGCATGCAAATCAATCTAATATCCATAAAGTTTAAGAAAAAAATTCATTCACAAAAATCAAAAAATGTTGTGACAGCGAAGAAAAAATTAAAAACAAAAAATTTAAATGCAAACCAACGAAAAATAAAATCATTTTTATAAAGCTTATAGTGTTTTATAAAACACTGCTAAAGTCCATTTTTGCATTTATTGGAAACAAATATCAGATTCGTCACCAACGCTACCAGAGCCGAAAAAAGTAAGTAAAATTCAAACTATTTGAATTAAATAATGTAACTCACATCAAAACAAATTGAATCTTTTAAATGGTAAAACCTAATTAGTCAGACGCCCTACATGTCATCAATAACAAAAATATCTAAGGTATCCATAAACCTAAAAGTACATTTCCTTTATTACCATCTTATCTTATCTTTATGTGCTTCACCTTCTTTATAAAATTTTAACACCATTTAACATACTTTTTGACAGTTCTCTTTTAGTTTTATGCTTATTGTGGTAACTCTGTACTTATAGCACTTAGATTTAATAGAAAAATTTTATAGAAAATAAATTTTGACATGTTCTTATAAAAAATTATGAAGTTACTTTGTACAAAAGACCAAACCACATAAAATGAACTCTAACCCTATCCGTTTTATCTGAAATTGTTAAAGTAAACTATTTGAAATATTAAACCTCTACTATTCCCTCATAACCCATTAACGATACTTTTAATTTTCTATATCTTGGAGAACATCTTAATTATAAAAATATTAACAAATATTTTCTGAATTTTATTTTCCTATTTGTAGTTGACATATTATAAAAATGTATGTCCCAGTGTTTCTCTTATACAATATCGTTTCCGAAGTTAAAATTACTTCTTAAAATAGATATTGGTAATTTCATATGTCGGAAAGATAAATAATTCCCTGATTCGTTGCCAAAATTCCATGACATTGAGACGAATACAAGAGGAGTTATTCTGCCTGAACTGACAGTCTTTAGAATCTACACGAAGATAGTCTTTGGCTTAATTACTTAAAAAAATTATATTAAGGATTTTATTATTACAAATTTTTGGTATCATTTATTTATTCGTTATAATAATTATATGTTATTATGGAAGTGTGCGAGTTAGGCTAAATTGATGCTAAACCAAATGGGAGATTTTTTGGAATTTTTTGCACTGCACACATTTAGCCATTTATCAACACGTATCGACACATCACTACATTATCGGCACAACTTAGAATTTCCTTCATTTAGAACGCAAGTTAGCTTAACTCGCACACGACCTATATATTTATATTTCTGTCATCATCAGCCTTCATAAAACTCAACATAATTAGCGACGAAACAGGAATTTATGAATACGACAAGCAAACAAGACAGACATTTTCAGAATGGTGCTTCGAAAACAAACCTCTTCCAGAGAGACAAACGGTAAAAATAAATACTATTGGAGGTTATGAGGTTCTCGCCAAAATATTGTCAGAAAGTAGTTAAATTTGAGGAAGGGCAATTAATGAAGTTTGCTTCATTATATTTCTGTCTAAATTAACTACTGAACTTTGTTGGAATATGTCCATTGTGTTACAGTATCAGGAATGGATAGATTTCTGTTAATAATTCGTTATAGCAGTCAAAAGGTTTAAAAACTAAAAATATAACACAATATTTCAATTTCTTACAATTTAATGCCAATTAATGTATAATAAGTTATATGTATATAATAATGTTTCTATATGTGTGTAGGGTATTGCAATTTAATCATAGCTGAAGGCAATTCTTTTTCTTGTTTCAATAAATGTTCATTAACTATGAGTACTTGTACCGAATACTTAAGTTTGTGATCCAAATCTTTGTGGCTCATTAAACATTCGCAGAGCCTAATGAAGCTATTAAATTGCAATCACACGAACACTTTTAAGCGTTAAATTGTAGACACCAATTAAGGAGATTTCCCATTCAAATAAATAAACAACCAAAGAATACAAAACAGAAAAAAACAATTATTTAAACGTTTCAACATATGTATATATATACATACATACACACATATATGTGGGACAAAAATTGTAATGATTTTTTATTGGCAATTTATTAAATGGCAATGTTTTCATCTGAAAAAAATACTCATTTACGCCTTATTGGTTTTCTATCAAGGTCAAGTGGAGAACAAATTTAAAATCCGCATTATTCAACATCTATTAACGGAGGTGACATAACTGAATATAATTATGAAGATGTCACCAATTATGAGATTTGCTCAAAGTTCAGTGAATTAATATTAATAATTCAGTTTGGAAAAATATTTATGTTATATAAAACGACTTCTTTGGCGAATTAAAACCGCTTCAACTAAAAACTGATCAAGTTTTAATTATTAAAAAATGTTTATACCATTTATTAATTACTTTGATTTATTTAAAAAAAATTACAATGTTATAAATAGGTATAACATAGAACGTATTTTTTTTTACTCAATTAGAATGAAGAAGAGACACAGGGAAAACTATATTTTAACAATTTACCACAATCTTCATAGTCTAACTCGCTCATAGGGGACCTTTTCACCTAAAGCGATTTGAGAATTGTATAAAACTAAATTAAAACAACATAAGAAGTATTATAGTAGTTTTGAAAGAACATTGCTGATACATTTTTATAAAAATGGGACCTACTCATATATTTTGTAGAAAAGGAGACCTCAAAATGCGTGTTGCGGGTCTACCCAAGACTGAATGATAAACGAAAGAAATAATTCGGTAAAGTTAGTTAATTAATTTCATTTTTTGAGCAAATCAGATTTGGTACAACACTCTAAGTCCATGAGAGGGGCACAATCAGATCGCTATGTCGCAGTGCTAAATCCACTAACATATTAATAATAATACGAATTTAGATTTCTGAGCTAGCCACATAATTAAAAAATTCTCCTTACTCTGTGCCAAAATCAGTTGCTGTGTCAGAAAAGATTGATGCTGTGCAAAAACATGTGGCGAATCATGAATACTATATACGCGTACGATCGTAAACAGCAGTCCACTGTATGGGTGTTTCAAGATAAAAATTGGTCATATGGCACTATATCCGTACCATTACAGGAACGTAAAATGGTTAGTTCCCGTATATAATGGTATACAACCATATGTTTACCGGAAGTCGTTAGTGAAATACGGAAAACAAGCAAGCACCGTAGCATTATTCTCCATCAAGACAATTTGAACATTCAAGAAATTGAATTGATTTGGTACCCAGTGACTTCATCTTGTTTCCGAACGTCAAGAATAAATTGCATGGACAACGATTTTTGTGGACAATGGCAGAAGAAACTGTTAAGAAGATTAGAAAAAATGCTTTGACAAATAGATCGAACGCATGCAAAACTGTATTTATAATAAAGGGGAATACTTAGGCTCATAATATAAATAGTGATCCTCGTAAGTAAAGCTTAAAAATCACTTAATAATAAATTTAAAATTTAGAAGAATTTTTTTAAATTTTTTAATATATTTACGTACCATACAATCTTTGATCAGCAAATGTGTATCCAACATATATCAAGAGAACAAGTTGTAAAAAGTAATGAGTTTGTGGTTCCATGCTAACTTAGCATATATGTAAATCTGAAGCCAAAATTTGCTCTTCTTATTTAAATTTATATAGATATGTATTTATAATTCTCTTTGAAAAATGTAATATTCTTTGCTTACTTTATTAAGCAAAGAATTCGCCCAACATTCTGCGTATCCTTAAGAAATTGACTGGTGGAATAATTTTTACCGAGTTTTGATTTAATTTTATTTTTAGAAACTCCATTTTTGATCTGAAAATTGAAAATTTTTTTATTAAAAATATGCAAATAGGTAAATAAATAGTAAAATAATATACATATATAATTTCATCTTCAAATTTTAGTTTTTAATGCATATTTCCAACTTTTAAAAAACACTGCTTAAAAATAAATCTATATCCTATTTCTTAAAAATATTATATAGTAATTAAAAGTTCATCTTCATTTATCAATCGATATTTGTAAAGAACAGAATACTAATATTTTTTTACGCCGTTTATATAAGGATAAGCTTGAAGTATAAAACCCATACAAAAAACTATTCAAGGCGTTTATAAAGCAAAGGAGCAAATAATGTATACGAATACAAGGATTAACCCAAGGAAATCTATTCAGTCTTCTTCGTCTATCTTCTCCGTTCTGTCAATTTTGACAAAAATAGATTTTAAGTTCGGTGGGGATACTGGCGGGAAGCCACGAGTATTATACTAACTTTATAAATTTGTAATGCTTATATCTAACGTAATAATATATAATGAATTAAAATTTTAAAGATCAAAAGAGTTTTTTAAGTTAATTGTGATAATGTTATTTACGAATCCATGCGTAATAGATTTTTAATTTTTTCTAATTAATAATTCAAATTTGTACATAGCTCCATACTTATAGTTAAATTGAGAGTTTTTCTTAATCTAGAACTCTATACTTTAGTAAGTATACAATAACTTTGTATTCTAAATGAATCTTTGCAGCCTATGGTTATAGATTAATAAATTAATTATTCTGCATAATTTGAGAAATTCTGAAATTATAAATATTGTTTTGATCAATTAAAGATAAATTGTATCTATAAGCCTAATAGTTACTATTGAGCCAGAGATAATGCAATAGTAATCCAATAAACTACAACAGAAATTTAGTAAAGATTTGCTTAAATGCTTATATAGAATAATTAATCGTGGCATCTGCCTTTAGAATATATCTGTATCTGTAGATTAAAGATTAGACGTTTAAATTAATGAAGACCATTACATGAAATCGTACGTTGATCTAAAATGCATATTTATTTTATTAAGAAAATGTCTTGGCCAAGGCAGCTACTCACTATATTAAAATATATACATATATAAACAATATTTGATAGATTAAATTCAATTTTAAAAAAATATATTATTATTACTTACATATAATATTATTTTTAATTAATCATTAATTAATTGCAATTATTTAATATGAAATAATTGAATGATCTTCGAAAGTTCTCATGTTAATAATTTTTAGGAAATTTGTCTGAAATTTCGAATTTCGACGCTAATAATATACTTGGAATTCGGGAAATACCCTCAATTAATGTTTGATTAAAGTTATAAGCATTATCTTTATAATCATTATGAGCTTTTGCCATTTATGCAAATTTTCTACATTCTAACTCTGGGAATTATGCGTCTGTCTCAGCTAACTGAATTTACCTTTCCATTCGGACACATACACAATGCTTTAATCACGATTTGCACGTAATTTATGATAATGACCCGGTAATTCCATTAATAAAATAAAACAAAAGCTCATTAGGCTTAAGCTGAAAAGTGAATAAACGTCTTCTAAGCTTGCCAATAATTTAAATGCGAAAACACAAGAGGGCGCCACACAAAATATGTAGGTATGCTTTGAATGACGCAATGGTGGCGCCTCAACTTATCTTTAATATTATTAATAGTTGTTTTTGTATTGTATCTTGTTTTCAGATATAGTCAGCGGCGATCTTATCAACCGACGGCGCATGGCAAAAGGTTGATGTTGCTTGGCGGTTTTTGTTTATGTTTTATTAGCAATTATTGATTTGTGGGAGAAGTTTAGATACTAATTTATAGATAAATAAATTAATTTAATTATTTTTTCCGGTTTTTGTTTTAAATTTCTGCAAATTTACTAATGGTTTTGGCTTAATTAAGTTAATGTGTTTATTATATGTATCTGAATTTATTTAACATGGCATAATAATTAATGGTAAATTTCATAACTATAATCACAACTTTATATGCTTGGAATGTAAACGAATGTAAACGAATGTAAACAAACATGACGGCTTTTAGAGACAATTAACTTAGTCCATAAATTACCGAATGAAGATACATAAAGTGTAAAACGCTGCATTGACGTACTGCGCAGGCCGTTTCTTCATCTCAACTTATCCATCATTGGATAAATCTGAAATTTTTATTTGACTTTTTTGTAAGTATTTTTAATTTATTTTTTCATTGTTGTCAGTTATTGGCGCCAGCTGGACCAATATAGTACGGCTATATCAGCGACAAGAGCCGCCAGAGTACAAGTATTACAAAAATAAACCAATAATTGAAATACCACAAATCGAGCTACTGCAAATGCATCTTCTCATCTTCAGTGTATCTGTAATAGCAACAACAACTTTGATTACAGCAGCGATTGCAAAAACAAAACAATGAAGACAATATGTAATGAAATGAAAAATTTAAAATAAAACTATAAATTAAAAAAAATGCTAACTCCATTGTATGGGAATAGCAGTGAAATTGAGTGGTTTCCGAGCAAGCCGCCACCACCGCCACCGATCTTGGTGCCAAGTCTGATCCAACCGATCAAATTACATTTCATTGCAGTCGTTCATTTTTTATTTTTAGATTTATTGTTGACAGCAAATACTTTTTGTGGTAATTATTAATGTAAAATTAAAAAAACGAAAAACGGAAAACAAAAAAGAACTGTAATCAATAAAAAATTAAATTCTTATTTGCAATAAAATATTTTCAAGCAATTGAATTATTTTAATATTGCTGATGGATATACTTCAAGAGCTTCTAGAAGATCTATATATATGTATGTATGTATATAAATGTACAATATATATTTTTATTACAATAGCATAAAATGCCGAAATGCAGACATATGTATACATAAATACTTCAACAGAATTGTAAAAAGTATTTCATTATGGAATTTAAAATGAGGACTTCAATATATGTATGTATGTAAGTTTATTATGTATGTTAAATGAAATTCATTAAAACAAAAACTTTATCATAAAAAGTCGCAGAACACTCTATGTTTGTCCACCCTAAGTCTGTTGGAATTCTTATTCCCATTTTGGGACAATATTTTGGAATAATGACACCAAAGTGCTTTTGACATCGGAATGTGAGAATATGAGTAAATTACTTTATCTCCATATTAACTCATCCAATTTAGAGTTAATTTGTATTTTTAAACACTAATACGATACGTATTCTAAAATTTGACCTAATAATTTATAATCCGCTAGGAGAAATACCGAATATCATAAAAAGTACAATTAATGATTCATCAGTATCTTGACGAACTAAAAGATTTATCACTATAAGTTTTCACATCACTTCTTCTTGTTGTACTTGTTAGGTTATTTATAACACCAAACTTGCTTAAAATTTTCGAAAGTACTTTAAGATATTGGACATTGAACACTAGTCCATTTTAGCTTAAGCCTACCTTTTCAATTAATATATGGAAATGAATTCATTTTATATGAATGAATGAAAGACATTCAGAGAAAAGACAGTTATTGCGTTATAGGTTGAGTAGTAGTAGCTAAGTAGATCGAAAAGTCATTTCCTAAATTATATTCAAAGCTTTGAATTTTGATAGTTTACATAATGTTTGATGATATAATTTACCACTCTTACATCAAAGTAACAACAAACGAAAAGCCATACAACTAATTTAATATGAGAAACCAATTTAAATTTATTATAAATGCAAATATTAAAATATTTTTTTTGTTTTTTTCAGGTCACTAGCATCTTATACCTGAGAGATCTTTTGAGTTTCAGCAAACAAGTACTCTTATGCTTACTTATTCCGTTGCTTTAACGATGATGTATTGCAACAAACGAATTGTACAACAATTATCATTATGAGGACAAAGTAGAATCCGTAAATCGCTTTCTATATATTCTTACCAGGCGTCAGATGAAAGGACCTAATTGTGCAAAATAGCGTTTACTCCACAGCCTGACAAAGCTAGCGAAGTTAGACTTAACGGATCTCCTTGACTTTATTTAAATAGCACGTGACAAATGAAGACAACACATGACTTTATAATAAGACCAACAGTTTGAGTAGATCGACGATTACTATTAACAATTAGAGGACGCCACAATGGGCAACAGATATCTGAGTTATAGTGTTGATACATTGATTTTTTTACATAAAATATAATAAAATTAATTTTTGCTTGTTTTTATCATTTATATGTAATATAAGAATGACATGTTTTTTTTTTGCTTATCCAGTCTTATTTATATAACCTGATTATTCTTATAAACGTAATTACGTTAGATAAGCCACTTTAAAGTAATAAAATTAAAATTTCCGTTTTGAAAGATTAAAAATAAAATAATTTGATTCTCTAAGGCAATTATAATTTTTATATTTAATAAAATGTAAGAAATTGATAAAAGGGCCGGGTCTATTGTTTCTACGTTATTTACACATAGCAATATAAAACTGAATATTAAATCAGTTCCATGCTCATTAATTTTCATCATTCCACTTCCAGATTAATAACTCAAACATACTGTCACTTCAGACGCAATAATTCCACGTTCTTAATCTTTCAAACCTTGTTCAAATCTCTTTAAATTTTGAGAGCACACGAGTGAAAAATCTACCTTTTCAAAGTATACAATTGTTAATAAATAGCTTGACTATTATTATCAATTTGAACCCCATATTATAATTTATACTACTTATTCTCAACTAGATATTTTATATAGTACACTTTTTTCCCCGCATTATTTACATATGAGATAGTAAGTGATAGAGAAGTTACGAACAGTGATGAATTACAGCAACCACAGTAACACACAAAACAGCTCTATGGTGAGTCAAAAATTCAATTTTATTGTAATTTACTACAGTTCGAAACCTCTCTATTGAATACAAGTATTTACTTGTATTCAATAGTTTCTGTAAAATAGTTTCTGTTGTGAGAACTGTTATTA